CCCAAAATTGTGTGGTTGTATTCCATTTTGTGATCTAAGGTCAATAACCCCCACTGCATGTTGTAAATGCTATGTATTAATGAGGCAAGATTGTTGTTGTTCGGTGCTGCCAAGTCAGTTCCGACTCATAGCAACCCTTTGGACAACAGAATGAAAAACTGCCCAAACTCGCACCATCTTCACAAGTATTGCTTTTACTGGGCTCATTGTTGCAGCCAATGAGACAATCCATCTTGTTGAGCATCTTAACTTTTTAATGTTGACACTTTACTTTACCATGCATTGATGGTCTTTTTCCAGGGACTAGTCCCTTCTGATAACATGCCCAAAGCATGTGAAACAAAGTTATGTAATATTAGTTTCCTATATTAAAAAATTGCTAATGAGTTAATTCCAACTTACATGGATCGTATATAGGATTTCTGAGACTACAAATCTAGACAAAAGCAAATAGCTGGTGGTATTGAATCACCAATCTTGTGAATAGTAGAGTTGTAAAATTGTTGTGACGGTTGTTTGATGCTCACCCTAATGAGGAAATCATTGTAGATATGGGCACTCAACAAAGTGTGGTAAAGAAAGTAGATGATGCCTGGCTACCAAAAAGAATAGTGTCTGAGGTCTCAAGTGAGGCATCAACTAAGTCCACATGGAAGCAGCAGACCAGCCTGTGTGATTCAAGGATTATAAATAATAAATCCAAATCTGAAGGAGTAAATTATATCAGAGCTTAAACTGTGAACACCTAGTTTTCAGAATGCTATGGAAGCCCAAAATTCATTTGTAGGGTTCCTACATGGATTAAGCCTCTGGTGAATCCCCTCTAAACATAGTCAAGGGATGTGGAAAACATTCCTATCAGAGAGAATTTGTAAATTTGATTATAGTAGAAGTAATTAAGTAATACTGTTTCACTTCATCTCACTTTTGGTCCAGTTTAAAATGGTATATATTCACCTCTGGTGAATCCCCTCTGGCCATGGATCAGGGATGTGAATAACCTTGTTAGCATGCAGAGTACAATGGAAAATGGAATTTTGCAGAACCAGTTAGGTTAAAATCTAACAACTTGTTTTATTTCCCTTTTGACTCATTCTATATATGTTCTGGTTTTGTATATTCCCTACTTTTTTTATATTGGGGTTTATCTCTGGCTTGTTGTTGTTTTGTTTGTGTTTGTTCCTGATTTGTTGGTATGCTTTCTAGTATATGAAATTCAGAAATTACTTGATAAGAGAGTAACTGGATTAATGGTTTATTGGGAATATAGGGGAGGAGGTTGGTGGGAAATGGGGAACTGGTAGCAGTGAGTGCAGGAAAGAATAAACTATTCTGGAAATTATTGTGGTAATAATTGTGCAACTCTTTATGATATGTCCTACCTACTGAAGAGCATGATATATGTGTTATGTCAATAAAACTATTTTAAAAATTATCATGGGTGTGGCATTTGACCTTCTCAAGCAAAAAGGCAGAGAATCACCATCACCATCAGCTCAAAGTTTCTTCCTATAAGGCTGAGGCCCTTATGTATGCTTATCCAACAGCACCACCAGGGCTCCTTGTTGTTGTTATTGTTGTTGTTGCTGTTGTTAGCTGCTGTCAAGTTGAGTCTGACTCAGAGACCCAAAGGACAACAGAATGAAACACTGCCCAGTCCTGCACCATCCTCACAATTATTCTTATGTTTGAGCCCATTTTTGCACCCACTGTGTCAATCCATCTTATCAAGGGTCTTCCTCTTTCCACTGCTCCTCTACTTTACCAACCATGATGTTCTTTTCCAGGAACTGAGCTCTCCTGACAATATGTCCAAAGGATGTGAGATGAAGTCCCACCATCCTTGCTTCTAAAGAGCATTCTGACTGTACTTCTTCCAAGATAGATTTGTTTGTTCTTTTGGCAGTCCATGGTATTTTCAGTATTCTTCACCAGCACCAGAATTCAAGTGCATCGATTCCTTATGCAATGTCCAAGTTTCACATGCATATGCAGCCACTGAAAATACCATGGCTTGGGTCAGGAGCACCTTAGTCCTCAAAGTAGCATTTTGCTTTTCAACACTCTCAACAGGTCTTGTGAAGTGGACTTACCCAATGCAGTGGGTCATTTGATCTTTTGGCTGTTGATTCCATGAACATTCATTGTGGAGTCATACAAGATGAAGTCCTTGACAACTTCAATCTTTTCTCCACTTATCATGATGTTGCCTTTTGGTCCAATTGTGAGGATTTGGGTCTTCTTTACACTGAGTTATAAGCCATACTGAAGGCTGCACTCCTTGATCTTCATCAGCAAGTGCTTCAAGTTCTCATTTTTAGGAAGCAAAGTTGTGTCATCTGCATGTCACAGGTTGTTAATAAGCCTTCCTCCAATCTTGATACCACATTCTGCTTTATACAATGTAGTTTTTCTGATTATTTGCTCAGCATACCGATTGAATAAGTATGGCGATAAGATACAATCCTGATTAACACCTTTCCTGACTTTTAACCAAGCAGTATTCCCTTGTTCTCTTTGCACAACTAACTGTCTCTTGATTCATGTATAGGTTCTGCATGAGCACAATGCAGTGTCCTGGAATTCACATTCTTCTCATAGGTTGTTATGGTCTACAGAGTCAAGTGCCTTTGCATAGTCAATAAAACACAAGTACACATCTTTCTGGTATTCTCTGCTTTCCGCCAAGATCCATCTGACATCAGCAATATCATCCCTTGTTTCCATTCTCTTCTGAATTCAGCATGAACCTCTGGCAGCTCCCTATCAATATATTGCTGCAACCATTGTTAGATGATCTTCAGCAACATTTTACTTGTGGTGATATTAATAATACTGTTCTAAAATTTAAGCATCTGTTTGAGTCACCTTTCTTTGGAATGGGCACAAATAATGATCTCCTCTAGTCAGTTGACCAAATAGCTATGTGGGTGCTTCTAAGGCTTCATCAGCTTGTTGAACATTTCAATCGGAGCTTTGTTTTCAGCTGGTGCCTTCTGTACAGCTTAGACTTCTTCCTTCCTATCCCTAAGGTTTTCAGTGGCGCATTCCTGAAGTAGGACAGCCTATTCTTTTTCTGTAGTATGTTCTTAATCTGGCAGCTCTGCTGCAAACCGTTCACTTTGGTGACACTACTGGTTTTTGAAAATATGCGTGACAGAGCTTCCAGCATCACAGAAATACAAAAGCCACCACAATATGACAAACAAGTTGTAGTGAGATGTACCTAATTAAGTTATGTTAGTATAGGATCTGATTATATTTTATGCTAATGATACAGAAGTAGAGTGTGATGCCCTCAAGTCCGGACCCTTCCTCAAGTCACCACCCTTGGTTCACTCACACCTTTTATCTTATGACAGATTAAAAAAGAGAGAATTGAGTACAGAGAGGGAACCTGAATATCATCAAGAAAGAACAGCCAGGAACAGAGTGTGTCACTTGGACCTGGAATTCCTCAGAACGTTCTCCATCCAGAAGTTTGAGAACCTCCTCCATCCGGAAGACAGACAGAAAGATCTGTACCAGGGGAGATGGCAAGAGACTTCAAGGTGCCTGGCTAGCACTACCAACCGTTCTGAAAGAAATCATAATAGAAGGTCCTGGATAGAGTGGGGAAAGAATGAGGAACAAACTCAATACCTTAAAAGAGACCGGGGTTTTTTTTGGTCAGAGAGAACGTGGTAGAACTCCTGAGACTATTGTCCATCATCAGCCTTTAGATTCAAAAGTGGAGAATTCACTCCATGGCTCAGTTTGCACTACAGACTTCTTAGAATCATCATTCATTTGAGATAAAAAGGACAGCAATTGCCCAAGGACAACATTCACAAGGGTTAGGAAAGAAGGAAGCTTGGAATTAGATAGTGGTGATGGTGGCACAAACTATTAAATAGACTGAAAACAACTGAGGGGGGTTGTCCACTTTAAATGCGTGAGTTGGATGGTACGTCATTATCCCCATAATGATGTTTTATAAACTACATTTGGAGTCTTGCTTACTAAAGTACCAAAGAGCCCCAAATCTGATAATATGCTGTGTTGATGAAGATGCTCGGAAACAGGCACTTTCAGACCTTGTCAGTGGTAATATAAATTGTTACAACCATTACATTTGGACACCATCAGAAGTTTCATTGCTCAGGTAACACTGCTTTTAGGATTTTATGCTTCGGATATCTCCCACATGGATAAAATGACAGAGGTGTGATATCCATCACAGCAGTATTTTTAGAACCAAAAAATTAACAACCTAAACTTCCACCCATAAGAAACAGGTTAAATTAACTAAATACATGTGAACATCCATACAATAAATGAGAAAAAAGAATGAGGAAGTTCTTTATGTATGGACATATTAATCTCTGGGCTACATTGTTGAGAGGGGGGAGAAAAGCAGGATGCCAAACAGCATATATATCACACTATATTTTGTGTCTAATAAGAGCGGAATAATATATCTGCATATTTTCCCTCATAGGCCTCCCAAAACCAAACCCATTACCTCCCCATCAATTCTGACTCATAGCGACCCTAGGTAGGGTTTCTGAGACTTCAAATTCTTATGGGAGCACATAGCCTCATCTTTTTCCCCCAGAGTGACTGGTCATCTGGAACGACTGACCCTGTGGTTAACAGCTCCGGGTTTACCCTACAGCGCGATTATAGCATCACTCTGACTGGGATCAGCTGCTGGAAGGAACTAGTTCACTGCGAAGAGTGCCCTGCTTTTTTATGAAGCATTATTGATTAAAAATAGAATGAAGCGTCAGCCACTAAAAATTGTATAATCAAAATATACTATAAAAGTCAAAAAAAAACAAGAAATAACTCTTCTCATGCCCTACCTTCACTTGCATCAACATTCACTGTTTAGTTTCTGATTGTTGCAATGTAGATTTTCCAAAGGGAAGTCACCTGTACTCTCTCTGGTCTCAGGTGAAATAGACAAAACTAACCTACGTTTCACGACATTGCTAATGTGTACACAGTAGTCTCACCATCATTTATGGTAATATTGGCAAGATCCACAATCTTATCGGGAAGTCCTTGAAGCAATTTGCACTGTTTGAACTTTGGTTTTTCCCACTGAGATTTGCCAGTGCTGATGCTGATTGAACTGAAAAAGAGAGGAGAAAGGAACAAAGGTTATTATTCAATTATTCCTATGGAAGGGTCATGCAAATTATGAAAGGATAGTGTATCTTCAGCATGCCTTCCCTTCCCCAACCCCTATCTCCTAGCTGTGCTAGAAGAGGCTTGAGCTAGTAGTTTTTTGTAAAGTGAGAAAATCTTGGCTCTGGGAGAACAGATTAATCTAGGGCTATCACTGCAGCCGTGGTTGGGGAAGGGCCGAAAAGCAGGCAAGGGAGCCTAGGGTGAGGCATAGAAATGTTTAGCTGGTCAAGAGTCGAGACCTGGACCTGGGCTATTACTCTCACTTTCCCTTCAGACCTCTATTTTAAAGGGGCAATTCCTTTGGGGATGCAGTCTCTACCTTTACCACAATAAGTTATTCAAGGCAATTAGTAAATCACCCTCGGTAGTCATCAGCCTTCATTATTAACCCAACCCTCTACACCAGTTAATCCAGCCCAGTTCATTTTAAATCTGTGAACACATTGATTGAGCACCCACTAGGTTATAGAATGATATAGGAAGCACAGTCAAACAGGGCAGGGTTTTTTTTTCCCTACAGGAGCTTATAATTAGATGGTGTGAGACTCTAAATATAATTATAGGCTAAATATAAGGGCAAGTCAAAAAGTATTGCTGCAAATAAATATCTTTATGAAACCGCATTTTTCCATTTCTCTAACCCTTCAAAAACTCACTGCCATTCAGTTGATATCAAGTCATAGTGTCCCCATAACAACAATTATGTTGTTCAATCCTAACAATAATGGTGGGGACTCAATGGCACCTAACAACAACAATAGCCCTTCCTCCAAAGAAATCTTCAATTTATTATCACACACACACACACACACACACACACACACACAGCAAGTTTGGCATACTCTAGAGCAGTGGTTCTCAACCTTCCTAATGCTGCGACCCTTTAATACAGTTCCTCACGTTGTGGTGACCCCAACCATAAAATTATTTCTGTTGCTACTTCATCACTGTAATTTTGCTATTGCTATGAATCAGGCGACCCCTGTGAAAAGGTCGTTGGACCCCCCCCCCAAAGGAGTCGCGACCCACAGGTTGAGAACTGCTGCTCTAGAGACTCAAATCATGTTCCTTTTCAACGTTTTCTGAGTTTGGGGAACAAAAAGAAATCTGAAGAGACAAAATCATGGCTGAAAGGTGGATGGGGTAATATTTCCCAATGAAATTCTCCAAGAACAGCCTTTGTCATCCTCAAAGAATATGCAGGTGCATTGTCATGATGGGGGGAAAATTTCTTGACACAAGGATCCTGGCCTTTTTCTCACTAAAGCAGTGTTCAATGTCCTTAAGACTTCTTCCTATGAGTCAACCAGGGCTCAGTATAGCACCAATGAAACAAACAATATCTTTCTACTTCTTTGAGGCTTCCTCACCACCACCACCAACTATCATGACCCCAGTCCTACCTTTCACTGCTGGAGCATGTACAAAGGTACAGACAAGCAATAGGAGCTTAGGACACACGGAATCCAGGAACAGGGTTGGGAGTAGTGAGACCAGGAGGGTAGGGAAAAGGGGAGGAGAGGAGGGGAGGAAGGGGGAACCGATCGCAATGATCTACACATAACCACACACACACACCCCAGGAGTATGAACAACAGAAACCGTGGGGGAAGGGGGACAGGGGTCAATGTAAGATATGAAAATAATAATAATTTATAATTTATCAAGGGGTCGTGAGGGTGGGGTAGGAGGGAGGGAAAAAAGAGGAGCTGATATGAAGGACCCAATAGAAAGTAAATGTTTAGAAAATAACGATGGCAACAAACGTACACATATACTTGATAGAATTGATGTATGGATTGTTCTAAGAACTGTAAGAGCCCCCAATAAAAGGATCTTTTAATAATTTTTATGAGACTTCTTCATAAAAAATCCCCATGACTGTCCTATGTCCTGTGAGGAACTCTTTCAAGACTATCCTTTGTTGTTCGCACTCACTCATGCCCATTAAGTCGGTTCTGACTCATAGTGACCCCTTAGGGCAGGGTATAGCTGCCCCAGTGGGTTTCCAAGAATAGCTCTTTATGGGAACAGAAAGCCTCTTATTTCTCCAGAGGAACAGCTAGTGGTTTTGAACTGCTGACCTTGTGGTAGCAGCCCAATGAGTTACCTACTACCCTGTTTCCCCAAAAGTAAGACATCCCCTGAAAATAAGACCTACTTACAGTTTTGCCTCTTGCTGAAATAGAAGGCATCCCCCCCGAAAATAAGACCTCCCCGAAAATAACACACACACACACCCGAAGCTACCGTAACTCTGGACTCTGGACTGTAGCGGCAGGCACCATAGTGCAGCTCACTGTTGGCCGCAACGCAGCTGGAGCAGACAGGAAGTGCGAAGTGTCTTTCAATAAAACAATAAACAATAAATGTGTACCGTATCTTCTTCATGGGAAAAATAAGACATCCCCTGAAAATAAGACCTAGTCCATCTTTGGGAGCAAAAATGAATATAAGGCACTGTCTTATTTTCGGAGAAACAGGGTAGGTGCTGATAAGTGGATTCCGCCTCATAGCGACACAGCGTGAAACACTACCTGGGGGGGAGGCTTTCCTCATGTTCTTCTGTTGCAGCCACTGTGTCAATCTGTTTTGTTGAAAGGCTTCCTTTGTTTTCAGCTGCCCCTCTACTTTACCCTTGGGAATCCCTAAAAACAGTTACCATAACCTTGAGCTGATCTCTCTACCTTGAATTTAATTGACCCAGCAGGTTCCCTCAAAAGCCAGTTTGATTGGATCTTGCTCTCTGGATCATATTGGAAAATTCATGACTCATTCTCAGTTACAATTTATTTCATAAAATCATCTTCATTATCTCCAATCTTCCTTAAAAGACCAATGGAATGATCAGTGAGTGATTTTTATGCAATACATTCTTCCTTTTTTTTAAAGCATTCTAAGGAGATTAGAGAGAAAGACAGGGCTGTCGACTCCCATATACAATCTCGGAAACTCGCAGGGGCAGTTCTACCCTGTCCTATCGGGTCCTCCTGAGTCGGTATTGACTCAGTGGCAGTGAGTTTGGTTTCGGTTTGACAGAGATTAAGACAAGTGTATTCCTGAGAGAACACGCCTGTCACTGATGGTAGAGACATGTTAAAACACATCTTATTTGGAATAGAAGAGTTCTGGTGGCACATTGGGTTACACATTGTGCTGCTAACAGCAAGGCCAGCAGTTCGAAACCACCAACTACTCTGTAGGGAAAAGAGCGAGGCTTTTGACTCCACGAATCTATTACAGCCCCAGAAACTCACAGGGGAACCCACAGAAACCCTGTCCTATAGGGTCGCTCTGAAATGGTATTGACCAGATGGCAGTAAGTGTGGGTTTTCATTTTGTTTTGGGTATTTGGAATCAATCTGCATATTTTGGTATTTGGAACAAACCTGTGCGTATATGAAATAGAACCTTAGTATCAATGTTTTGTTTTGTTTATTTTTACTTACCCTCGTATGATATGAAATGCTGTAGAAGCCAACACAAACTTATCAAATCATCAAGCATAATTACTTATTTTCAACATTTTGAATGAGCTGGGCTTTGACAGGTACGAGGTCGAGAAAGACACACCAACCAGAGGAAGGGACACAAGGAAGTGTTCCCTGAATCCCAAATGCCAAATGACCCTTTTCAGGCGGAGCATGGGTGAGGAAGGAGAACTACGGAGTGCCAGAGCGAGTCATCTGGAAACCAGGCCTGTGGGTCTTGGGTGCTCTAGGTAGAAGTTTGGACTTCAATCTGAGTCCACTGTGGAACTTGTGCAGGAAAGTGATAAGACAGCAGTCATACTTTAGGAAAATCACTCGAGCTGCTCCGTGGAGTCTATTTGGGAGATAATGGACCATTCGAAGGCAGGTGACTGTGCTAATGGTCCGCAAGGGATTGCATGGCAGGGAGGTTGAAAAGTCACATTTGCCAGGGAGCTCTGACTGTGATAGTACAAGCTGTATGCCCAGACACAAAAGGACAAACACTGTGTGGTACCACTTATATGAAATGCCTAGAATAGGCCGATGCCCAGAGACTAAGGTTTGTCAGTGGTTACGGGAATGGGAAGGAGGGAAAGGGGGAGGGCACTGCCTAGGGGGGCTGAGCTTCTGCCCAGGGTATTTTGGAAACATAGTAGTAATAGTTGCACAACATGATAAACATGATTAGTGCCACTGAATTGTGCATGTAAAACTGGTTGAAATGACAAATGCATATTTATATACACTTTGCTACAATAACTGATTTTAAAGTTGCATGCCTTGCTGACTGATTAGATGTATGAAGAACAAAGTAAGGTGTTCATGATTTCTCCTTCCAAAAGAGCACTTTTAAGCCTCTATCAAAACCTGCTGTTACTCTGGTCTTGTCCACTTAAGTTAATGGCATAAACCATTAACAGTAGTGAGTAAGAAAAAAAATGAGGGGGAGGGGGCTGCCAATTTTAAAAGGGAAATGATAAACTCAGTAATAGAAGGGTGATTTAATGAGTTATTATGGCCCATCAACGAGATAGCTTCTGAGGCAGTTTTTCAAAATGATCGTAAGAAAATGAATGCAAAAACATGACAAATGTTTGATAAACCACTGAGTGAAAAGTAAATCATATTACTGGTATAAAGATGGTGATTACTACTATATAAACCTTAAAGCACACGGGGGGGGGGGGGGGCAGAAAGCTATGTTTAGATGCTGGCATTATGAGTGTCTTTTTGGTTTGTTTTATTGAAAAAATTTTTCGGAAATTTTGATGTTCCTTTAAAAGAAAGAAGAGGAGAAGGAGAAAGGGAAAGGAGGAAAGCAGAATGGAGGGAGGAAGGGAAGGTGGCACAGAGATGGAGGGGGGTGGCACATGCACTGGACAAATTTGACATAGAGATGTGCCCCAAATTAAGTGGATCCTGTGTATCTGAATTAGCAATTAGAACTTGGCTGCTCCATACCAGATTCTGGTAGCACTTCCATCCTCATTTTTTATGCATCTAGTTTGGGCGATCTCAGTAGGGTTGGTTAATAGCCACTTATAGGTCCCTTTGAATTTTGAGACTGTTTCATCGGCTTTGCACTTTCCCGGCTCTGAAGAGAAAATGTATACATGTTTAAAAGGGCAAGAGGCACTAAAAAGCAACACGAACAGCCATTACAGCCCAGCACTATTGCTCTGCACATAAACATCAGCAAATAAAAGTGGAAGCTTCCCCACCACCCCCCAGCCAGGTCATTTAAACCAGGCTTCACTGGAAAATAAAATAAAATAAAAAAGCATTAAACAGGCACTGTTTCTTTCAATAAGCCACATCAGCATAGCAACACATTTAATCTTTTTCATTAAAGCCACTGGTTCACAGGATATATTTTTGTTTTTCTTACCAAATTGTTCATATGCATTAAAAGCCACACAAAGGGGTCTAGAATGAAAATCTGCAGTTCCCACCTGCCCACTGTCTGACTTCCTAGGCAACTCCACGTGTGTTATAATAGAACTTAACAGGATTTTCAATGGCTGGAGGGTGTTTTTTTTTTTAAGTAGATTGCCAGGTCTTTCTTCCAAGGCACCTCTCTCAAAATAAACAAAAAAAAAACTGCCATCAAGTCAATGAGGACTCATAGCAGTCCTATAGGGCAGAGTCAAACTGCCCCTCTGAGTTTCTGAGACCAACTTTTTAAGCTCGTGAAGGGGCTGGTGGTTTCGAACTGCAGGTCACAGCCCAATGCATAACTATTATACCACCAGGGCTCCTCTGGGTGAGTTTAAACTACCACCCTGTCAGTAGCCAAGTACTTAAACATTTGTGCCATGCAGGGCACCTTCCCTCCTAGACATCTACTGTTCATTTGATGTGCCAACACAAGAGAGTGTAAGTCTATGCCTCTTTCTGAGGGGGTCCTCTCTTCTTGGACTTGGGGTAAGTTCAGTTTTAGTAAACTCAATGTGTCTGACATCATCAACAGAGATCGAGTTGCTCACTTCTGAGGTTGGTGCTAAGGGACAGATCTACTATCCCTTCTCAAAGCGCAGCTAGGGTAATTTTGGCTACCCACTATTGTCACTGGATGCCTGACTCTGATGCTAGAAGTTGTTCCCAGGCATTGGCAAAATGGTCTGAGCAGTGGTGCAGCCAGCCATGTCCAAACATCCCAGTCTCCTCTCTGGGGAAAGCAGGAGAGGTGCTTTCATCTCACTCTCAGGATACCTTCATGAGAGTCATTTGCATGACGGGATTTACCTGCAGCTTCAACAATTCTATGCCTTCCATCTCCAACTCACCTTGCATAATGACTGGCTGCCCAGCACTACTTAATTAGGTTGTGGCCAAGGGCCGTACACTCTAATGCCTATGTGTGTGACCTTGGGTAGCTCCATGTCTACTGGAAATCAGGAACAAAGCTAGCCAGGATGGGAAAGAGGTGGAGTAGTCAGGTAGCCTTTCTCTTTCACCGCTAAAGCCTTGCTAATCTGAAAAGAAAAGGCCGAGGAGAGAAATTTAGGACCACGACCTGGTCATTTTCGAAGGTGAACAGGCTTGCTGAGTTAATCAATAAATCAGGAAGTATCCATAGGGCATTTATTGTGCGCAACCAGGAAGCTCCCCTGGTCTCTATTTATGCAAGAGGGGCGATGCTATCACTCTGTTGATAACTGTCTGTGGCTCCCATCCAGAGCTGACCGTGATCTTGTTAACCCCTCTGAGGCTGTTTTTTCCATGCTCTTCAAAGGAGGACAATTGTCCGGGCGAGTGGGCAGTGAGACTATGCAAAGGAATGTGAAGGGAGCTGCTATGTCCTTGTTATGAATTATGGGTTCATAATTAAGAGAATGCGATCATTCCCAAATAATCACCCCTCACAATAATTACCTAGTTTTTTTACTGCAACATCTTCAGACTTTACTAATAAAGTCAACTAATCTTGGGTGAAGTTTCCATGGGTAATATTGCCATGTATTTTACTTCTAATCTTGTGGATCAATTCATTAGGTGCTAAAGAAGAGTTGGCCTTTACGATGACCTGACAAACACAGCTAAAAAGGAGAACAAAAAATGAAGACATTGCAGGGATGTCAACCTAGTGTGGCTTGGCCTAGGGCACTCAAATTCTGGGCAGCTGTCCACTGGGAGTTCATCAGTAGCAAACCGTTTACAACTGTTCAGTGGGAAATTGTAAGAAATGATGGAAGATGGCGCATGGAAATCTGATAAATTTTCTCATATCCCAAACAGTCTACTCAAAATCTATTTTCAAAACAAGGGTCAGTAAGATTTGCATCATGTTGAAATGGACGGGGCATGCAATTTCTGTAGAAGTTTGCAACCATTAATAGAGAAGATAGAGTACTCGGGATATATCACTTCAGAGAAAACCTTTTATCTTTCTGCTCTCCAATTTATCCATCATTACGACAACAAGGCAAACAGGCACATGCTCAATTAGTTTATTAAGATGTGTTCTGGAGAAAGCTTATTATCTAATTGAATAAAAATCATGATAATGATAGTAATTAACATTTTTTAGTGCTTGTTCCACATGTTGGGACTCATTTTACCCTCACAAGGACACAAGGTAAATGGTATTATTAGCCCCCATTCTACCAAAGAGGGACCTGAGTCTTAGGGAGGTGATGTTTCCCAAGGTCACAAGGACCTAATATTGCATTTCTATTTACTCTGTCCACTGAAAAATATGTTATGAAAGAAAAAAGGTTGTCCTTGATCTCGACTTCCACAGCAACGTCCTCAAACATTTCATTTTCTTCTAATATCCAAGTAAAGAACTTACTTCAGGGTCACAAACTTACTTGTAAGGATATATTGTTTTCTCATTTACATTTCTAGTGAAGAACACAGTTCCTAAGTTTCTTAGCAGTAGTCAAAAGTTAGGTGGACTTGTGTTTGCTCAAAACATCTGTCTACATCCAATCTAGGCAATAGCTCCACTTCCCTCTGATCCGTATTTGGTGACGTCCCTGATCATCCTTACCATTCCATTTGCAGGCTCCTTTCTCTCTGCTTTCATCTTTCTAGAGGACTGACTCCTCTTTTAAAATCTCTTCTGTTGCTGACAATAGACCTCTAATTTCCTAAAAATTCCAGTGATCTTTCCATGGGCCTTCTCAGCTATTATGTCCCTCTTAAAGTGCATCAAGCCAATCCAAACAGGCAGTGTTTGGGGAGGATGGGAACTGGACCATGAGTCTGAACAGGACTGAAATTGCTTTCCACGTTCTCTTTCAATTTTCTTGCTCGATATTTTGTGGACCTTTTTGACTATTACAAGTACTTTGTTACCCCACCCCCAAATTAGGAGCACTTTATACCATTTTCTCTGCACTACAAAGAAGCAGCAGGTAGGCTACCAGGCTGTCACTGTGACCAACTCAACTTATTGCATGAAAACAAGAGCCCAATTACAGCATCTGCAAAATAACTCCTGGGTACTTTGATCTCTTTCTGATAACTCTGACCAACAGGCTGCTCACACAGAATTAAATGTAAGAAAAATCAGAACGAAATGTACTGGCTATGAATCATCCTGGCTCTTACCTGTATGGTACACGGGAAATATAATCCATTCCTTGCCCTTCTCTCTGTTCCAACTGGTGCAAAAGAAAAGTACAGTCACTGAAGTCTTTGGACCAATGTCACAAATGAAAATAAGGCTTATTGTTAATGACACCGATCATAATTGCACTTTACAGTGATGAAATCTATTGCCATTTTCAATCGCCTTCAAAAATGTAATTGCATTTGGTCCTCACACAACCCCTGTCAGATGGGCAATACAGAAATTGAAGCTCAATTTTCTAGCTGAGAAATCTGAGTTTTAGAGAAGTTCAATGACCTGCCCAATATCACATGGCAGAGCCATATTATTAAGAGTGAAATCTAAGCCTTCTGGATCTAGGTACTAAAATGATGATAAACTCATTTTCATTGAGTCAATTCTGAATTATAGCGACCCTATTGGACAGAAGAGAACTGTTCCTGTGGGTTTCTGAGATTACAAACCTTTATAGGAATAGACAGCCTCATCTTTCGCCCATGGTTGTGAATGGCTGACCTTTCCGTGAACAGCCCAAGGCATAACACACTACACCACCAGGCAATACAAGGGGGCTTCAAAAAGGTACAGCAGGCTGCCTGTGGGGCTGCTAACCATAGTCAGCAGGTCAAACTCATCCTGCACTCCATGGGAGAATGATGAGGTTGTCTACTCCTATAAAGATGCACAGTGACCCCAGGAAGCCCACAGAGCCAGTTCTACCCTGTCTCAGAAGGTCATTGGGAGTCATAATTGACTCAATGGCAGTGAGTTTAAGTTGTTTGAAGCTCTAAGCTGATGGCAGTGGCGGTTGAATGGTAGAATCGAAGAAGACAAGGGTTTGATTCCCAACCAGCGCACCTCATATGCAGTTAAAGTGTTACCATAATATTTTATAGGCTTCAGTAGAGTGTCCAGATTAAGATAGACTAGGAAGAAAGGCATGGTGATCTATTTCGGAAAATCAGCCAATGAGAACTCTACAGATAACAAAGGTCTGATTCTTTTGGGTGCCAACTCCACCATAGCTTATAACATTAACAAAGCCCTAAGCTTTACATAAAATATCACATTCCATACTTTCAGCAGCCCTGTGAGACAACAGTACTCTGTGAACCTCATTTCACAGATGATACAGATAAAGGAAGATTCATTAAGTTTCCCAAGGTCTCACAATCAGGAAAGGGAAGAATAGGAATTATAATCCAAGCAACTGACTCTAGAGACCACGTTACCGACTGTTATACTTATTATTTAAGAGGAATATTGGCTGTGTCATATTATTTCTTAAAATGTGATAAATAAATTTTCTCACTCAGTTATTCACAGAAGGTGAATATTTTTAGTGACAGCAGATAATTTAGAATACACTGGAAGTTTGACTGTATTTTGCATAACCAAATTACGTATCTTATATTCAAATACCTTGAAAGTTCAATGTTTACTAATCATTTCTGACGTCATCTTGTAAAACTTTCAGGCAATTTCTGTCGAGGCAATTCCAACTCATAGCAACACCATATATGTCAAAGTAGAATTGTACTCCACAGAGTACCAAAAAATGGCTATTTCTTTTAAGAAGCAGATCTGGATGTAGATTACCATGTCTTTCTTCCAAGGTACCAAGCACACTGATGGTTTGCACTATGCTGGAATAAAGACCAGTAATTGGGAGAAAGGTGGTAGGAGATACTATTTTAAAAAATGACCTCAAATCAGTACAACTAGAGGTTGGGTTTATTGTATCCATCTTGGAAGAGCCTTTTTTTAAAAAATCACATGTTTACTAACAAGAAACTACACCTACCATTTACAATTCCAGAGTCGCGTAGGCTACAAATGAATAGACCTCAAAAAATTGCCACATGGCTAGTTTAAAAAGCAGAGAATGGCTTTCTTGCTGAGTTCTTGTGCCCAACCCAAGAAAAGTAATTATTACAAGTGAGCCTTGCCTAATGGTGAAAAGTTATTGCTTTATCTCTGTGTCCCCGAGTGTCACATGCTCAGCTGCTAACCAAAAGGTTGAAGCTTCAAGTCCATTCCTTGGAAGAAATGCCTAGCAATTTACTTCTGAAAAATCAGTCATTGAAAAATCCTATGCAGTTCAGTACTTCTCTGACACACATGGGTCCCCATGAGCCAGAATTGACAAATGGTACTAGTAATCAGGTACATAATGGGTCACAAGTAGATTCCTTTTGAAAAATTACTTACAATAGTTCTGTCCATGATCATTTCTTCCTCAAGCGTGTCTCTGTATCAAAAGCAGCACAAAAGATTACAGAAAAAAGCAAACGGATTACCAAATGCATGAGGACACAAGATCAGAAGAAAGGCAGATTTGTGGCAGAATAGTAGAACCCCCACGTTCAGGAGAAAATAGTAGTAGAACTACAAGGGAACACTTGGAAAAAGCATGGCTTCTTGCAGATCAGAATGCTAGTGAGCAAGCTCACTTCCAGGAGTAGTACCAGTCAGAGTGCATACAAGATATATACAAGGGTTAAAATAACCCTAATACTCACCATGAGGTAACAGAACAAATACATGACGATATGTGCACCCATACAAAAGTATCCTGCTCAGCCATTAAAATGAGTAAGCTAGATCTGTGATTCTTGGTATGAGAAGATGTACAAGATGTATTCTACAGCAAATTAGGAAGACTAGAAAACAGTACGTCGAGTTGGATGACACACTCTTGGTTAATGCACAGAAACAGATGTAAACTAATATACCAAGAAATGAAAGTTGCTACCAGGAGCTCTCCGTGGTAGGGAAGAGTTAAGGCTCCAGAAATTTTCATTATCCATGCTATATATTTCTATAAAGCTTGATGATTTCAAAATGGCCACTTATTCCCTTTGTAATAAAGAACAACAGTAGATGCATTTTTAAAATAATGTTGTATACTCCAAACATCCCTAACTTTTTCTTTCAATAACCTATCATACATTTATAGGCATTAATTTAGATGAACCTTCTGGAACCTATTTATATCTGAACATGTTAGCGTAATCGAAATCTCAGTACGTAGTTTTAAAAACCAGCTTGGTATACAGAGTTATGGTATACAGAGGTCTGCTTATTTTTCAAAGAACTGCTTCAGGGTTTTCCTTTAACACATTGACTATATTAGTAGAAGTCCTTTAACACTACTATTAGTAGTAGTCCTTTAACACATTCCTTTAACACAATGACTCCTACTGCTATTGGTATACATGTTAGGCAAGATCTCAAGAAATATTTCCCAGATGATCATTTTCTTTTGCTGTGGTCTCCTTAATAGTTCTGAATGTCTACTGATTTCACTTTTCTAACTTGGACTACTCAATATTCCTTACATTTCAAGTTCCCATTTGGAATTTGGAAAATTTTTAAAATGCAGTGTCCTAAAATGAAACGCCTTATAAATTATCATGCAATGGCCGTCTTCACCTTTTACCCCTTTGAAGTATGATTTGGCGGAAAAAAATTAATAACATCATAGAATTTTTTTAGCTAAAGGGATCATTAGAAGTAATTCCGTTCAATTCCACTCTTTTGCCTATTTGTTTTCTTTACCCATTCGCTCAGTAACTTAATGTAAATTTCTTCTTCATTCCAGAAAGGATCTACATTTAGAAAGGAAGATATAACTGAAAAATGCAGCAGTCCCTAAGATTCCGGCGTAAGCAAAGAAAAACCTCTTTGGTTATGAAAAGACCCCGAATGCCCTCAAATTTTGGCCCATGGTAGATGACATCCACATACCTGTTTTTAATTTGGGTAGCCAAATTAGCGAGAACGAACTCACTGTCCTGAAATATAGAATTCAACTGCAAAACAAAATAAAACAAAACGTCAGTTTTCCTATTCATGCTCCTCTATCTTAACCGAGCAAAATCAGTCACCTGGGACAATGTGATCATTAGGCTGCATTCATTATTTCCATAGGCTCCACTCAGGTTTTCAATTTACATTTTGCGCACCCATTTTCAAGCACTATAATCATGGCACATACACTTCAAAATAAAAGCTGATGAGAAGAGTGCGGAAAAAGACCCCACCAGTTAATGTTAGTCGGGGGGGGGAGGGGGGGAACAAATTCGTGTAACATAAATCTGGGGTGTAATTTAGCAATAGCTATTAACATGCAAAATGTCCATGCCCTTTGATCTTGCAATGCCAATTCCAGAAATGTATCCAATACACATAGTTAAATGCCTCCAAAATTTATTGCAAGGACATCATTTTTCATAGTGGTTCTAAAAAGGGGAAAGAACAGAAGTAACCTGTGTCCACCGATAGATGCCTACATTAAAGGAAAACGATAACTGCATTACAATAATCTACTGACACAGTACACATCTGTTAAAGTGGATGCGATGATCTGCATGGACCCACATGAATATGCTCAAAATACATGATTAAGTGGAGAAAAAGCAAGCTTTAGAAGAGCATAGCTAGGAATGGTCCCCCTTATTTGTTTGTTTTCTTGAAGGAATATATGCATGGCTGCTAGTATCTAGATAGTGGGGAAAACGGAAACAAAAAATAAAGAACAGCTCAAATTGTTAGGAAGAATTAATGTAAGCAGTAGTGCTAGAAAGGATATTCACTTTCTGGTTTTCAGATGTCAATTTTATTTTCAGAGACTATGTGTTAGTCTTATCACTAGAAAAATATGAATAAAAAATATGTATCGCATTGGAGAAAGAGAAAAAATTTAAATGCACAAAACAAAGATATTTAAATAAAGTTATATACACTTTGTCATCACTTCTCTCCCCTTTCTCCCAATAGGAAAATTTGGCTGTGACTCAGAGATTTGTGTCAGTGAAAGGAAATGTACACATGTAAGCAAATTAAAATAATAACACCCCAGGAAGACTTTTCAACATTGGCACTATGTAATAGAAACTGCACATGCTTTCCTGATGCTTATAGGAAAAAATATTAGTTGTGGAATAAGCAGTAAAAAATAAAGCCTAGTTTAAATCTACTCAGTCTCAACAGATAGATAGATAGATAGATAGATAGATAGATAGATAGATAGATAGATAAAGTAAGTTAAAAAGTATTGCTACAAAATCCTAGAAACCTCTTTTAAACACAAACCTGAAAATATGAAGCTATTATTTCTCGACATATTCTCCCAGCTAGGTCTATACATTTCTCAAAGTAGTTTTTCTGCACTCTGATTTTCACCATGTAAAAATAGCAATTTTGGCATACTCAAGGGACTCAAATTGTGTTCCCTTTAAATGCTCTTTGAGTTTGGGGAACAAAAGGACATCTGAAGGGTCAATAGCAAGGCTTGTAAGGTGAATAAGGGTAATTCTCCTAGGATAGCCCTTGCTATTCTCAAAGAATAAGCAGGTAAATTGTCGGAATAGGTGGTGGTGGAGGGGCGGGGATTCCTCAGTGCACTTTCTTGGTCTTTTTCTCATGAATGCATTTTCAATTATCATAAAAGATCTTCATAACATGCCTCTGTGAATGTCTTGCAGCTTCAAGAAAATCTATTCACATTACTCCTTTGGAATTAAAAAAAAATCCCCCCCTCTCCCTAAAAAAAACCAAGTCACCAAAACCTTGAACTGATCTCTCTGCCTTGAATTTAACTGGTCTATCAGGTCCCCTCAGAAGCCAGGTTTGATTGGACCTGTTTTTGAAGGCACCCTAAGGAGACTAAGACAAATGTGTTACTGAGAGAATTGTGGACGGCCTCTACTGATCGCAGAGACATGTTTAAATTAAACACGTTTTGTTTGGAATAAACCTGTGCAGGCATGAACTGGAAGCCCAGTAGCAATAATTTTTAACTTACCCTCTGCATGCGTGTACGCCCTTGTCCACAGTCATCTACATTTCTATGAACATAAATATTAAAAATGTTGTTTTACCCAATATTCCGCAAATTTATTTATTACACTGGTAATAAGGATCCTTGGCTCTCCATCAGTGACTGAGAAGTTCATTATAATATTGTAGAAGGAAACTGTAATTAAAAATAAGATTAATTTTATCCTTTTATTTGGTTCAAGATATCTGACTTTCTGTAAATTAGGTCAAATTAATCCATTTTCGCTCAAACTGAATAATCTTTGGTTAAATCTAAGAGCAAGGAGCGGCACTTTTGGCACTATATTAAAAAACAAAAAAGATATCACCATCTATGGGTTTGGGGGGGTTTCTTCTTTTCTTTTTTTGCTTTAACTGCTTCAGCAACTTTCTTTTTCTACAAATGACTCCCACATCCTCAACTTTCCAGATTCTCAGGCCATTCAATGGCCACGCTGAATATTATTTTGCATAATCATCTGTACTAAGAAAATAACTGTTTCTTCCTATGGTTTTCTGTTGCAAGCTTGCCTCTTCTTATGACCCCATTGCTCTTATAATTAATCCTATTAGATTTCCATCTTGGTAGGTTGGATATTGAAGCAGCATCCAAAATTTGGGTACTATGGATACCAAATACTCCCTAGCCATGGTTAATATTCCTATTGAGCAAGAGGAGGATATTGGAGAAGGTTGAGGCCTATGTAAGAGGCATTGATAAAGGCAAGACAGAACATCGTCTGCTGTTTTCTGAGATAAGGTCAATCTGATTGGGTGTGAGGCTATGTAATCCTTTTATTGGGGATGGGGTGAGGTCCTTGGTCCATGGTGACATTGTTACAGTCAGAATCAAGGGCTCAGGGACAAAACCAGTGGAAAGGAGAATTAAAAAGGTCACACTGGGTGGAAAGATACATTTGTGTTATATTTGGAAAGAAGGAAAAATAAACAAGATGGCTGCAGAAGTCTGTGTTTTCATCAGGTCTCTGCTGTACTCACTGTCTGAAGAACATGAGAAACCCCACTGCACCCTTCTTTATTATCCTTTCCTTCCCTAGGAGAGCTGATCATTTTTGGAGACCATTTAGCTCATTGTGCATAGATTCTGCTAGGGGTGGGAGATTTTTAAAACACAAAGGCATATTGTACAATAGTACCTGTAGACTCAGCAGCGATAGTTGAAGTCATTGTTCCTCTAGACAGAAAGGAAGGTGTGGAGTCAAGCCAGGTTGTCTCATAAGAGGAAGAGATTAATGAAGACACCATTGCTGTAGACGGATGTGTTATTCCAGTGGATTTGAGTGGAAATGAGGCGTCAGTAGCAGTGGAAGTAATAGTGACTATATTTGGAAGCGAGTCCAGTGTGGGCTCAGAAAGAACTGCAGTAGGGGATGTAGGTCCAGCTGGGACACTGCCCCATGAAGATGTTATTGTAGGGCGAGACAGAGGAACGGAACCAATAGATGAGTTTTAGTTAGTTATAAGAGGTGACATGCTTATCCTGCTAAAGGATGGAAGTTGAGACACAGTCCTGGAGTTGACCAGCACAGTGTTTCTGGGGGATGCCCCTGGGGGTGTAGAAATGTCTACATTGTCTTCTGTGGTTTCTGTAGACATTTGGAGAGAAGCTGGGAAGCCAGTTGTGATACTAGCCATTGTAGGTATGGGAGTGGTTCTAGTGAGGACAGGGCCTTCAGTGGCAAAGGGAAAAGTTGTCAAGTCAGTGAATGAGGGTGTTGGTGTCATGTCAGAAGCCAGAAATGTGGAGCTTGACTGCTCTTCTGTAGAGGAAGTTATAGCTTGAGGAGTTTGGGATACAGTTGTCAAAGGGGAACTTGAAGGAAGACTAAATGGAATCCAAGTCTGAATGAGTAAAGTAGCAGCCTTTGAAATGGTCGATTCTGCAATGACACCAGAAGATTCCATTGGGAGTGTGATTCCAGGAGTTAAAGCTGTAGTGGTCTTCTCAAATGGCTGCAAGGGGGGAGGGGTAACACTTGAAGAAGATGGCAATAAAGGATTCTCAGAGAACCCCAAATTTGGCAGAATTCCAGAGGTGCGGATTGATGATTCTGAGGTAGCCCCTTCAGATACAAGGCCAGTTTGAGAGGCTGTGAGCGTTGACAATGATACTGGGGTAAGTGGTGGCATTTCTGTGTCCTTTTTGTTGGATGTAGGTGTAGGAACAGTGATGGGAATTGAAAATTGAGTGTCCGTAGCTGTGGGTGTATTCCAGGAAGTCTTAAGCAAAGACTGGGAGTTACTAGATGTTATTGCTGTTCCCTGCACAGGAAATTCAACCATATGGGATGTAGGGACTGGAGACGTCTTTGTAGTGGAAAAGTTAGCTTCAGTACGATGAGGTAAATTTAAAAATGGTGTGAAAGAGACTGGAGTTGCTATGGATGGGGTCAACAAAGGATGCGAAGTAGAAGTATTCACAGATGTGGCACTTTTTGTTAGTTCATCTGTTAAAGAAATATTTTCTGACAGGGAAGTTATCTTTCCTGTACCAGAAGAAAGGGAAGTGGTGACTTTCGCCCTTCTTGTGGGTCCCGGAGTACTGTTCAAGTTAGTTAAAGAGGAGGAAACCTGACTATTCAGGGAAGTATGGATATTATCTGAAGGGAGAGATGAAGGCCTATTTTCAGGGACAATAGTGCTGGAATAAATATGTGTGAGACCTGTCACTCGACCACTGCTCACAGTAGATCGGGAGATGTCAGTCATCCCAGGTAATACGTTCAGAGTTGTAGTCTCAACTTCTTTAGATAGTTGTTGGCTTGTTGACAGAATTGGTGGCAATGTGGCCATTGGTGCGGAGGAAACAGCGTCAGTGTTTTCAGAACTGAGTAGAGAAAAGGCAGTGGTGGTTGGGGTGGTTTTCACAGAGGGAAAATTTGACTTTTTCAGAGAGGAAACCAATGTAGGTGTGATCCCGGAAGATGTCGTTGTCGTTTCGGAAGTAGTAAAAGCAGGAGAAACCATCGTGTCTTTTGCAGTAGGCCAAGTGTATGTCACAGCTATGACATCCGCTGTAGACGGTTCTGGTGTCGTGGCAGTTCTTGGGACTGGTGGAACTAATAAGGTAGAGAACGACTCAATTGTGGAAGTATCAGAAAAAGACACTGCAGGTGAGGAAGTAGAGTCCTTAGCTGGCAGGGAGGGGATCTCAGATCTCGGCCCCGAAGTGACTACCGATGGACTTTTCAAACAACCCGAGTGTGTTGTTTCAGAAGGCTTAGCCATTGGCATTGTGGGTGTGTCAGAAACAATTCTGGAAGTGAAAGCAGTGGCATTAGTTGGCAGGAAGGACATCTGGGAGGTAGGAACAGGGGTTGCCATTGAGGTTTTCCCAAACATCGGTACATTTGGAACAGAAAGGACTGTCGTGTTCTTGTCATCATTAGAAATCGCTGTGAAGTTGACATTGGAAAGTCCGGTTGTGGAAAGAGACAAGGACCCAGAGGAAGTCTGTGTGCTTTTATAAAGAGGAGCGAAAACTGAAGTGACCAGCGGTTGAGTCCTGAGTGAAGGCAGCTGAGAAGTAGTTGTGCCGATGCTCATAGAAGTGGGTACTGTGATTGTCCTGTAAGATGAAGTATCTACAAAAGAAGTGTCCTGGTGGAATGAGACAGGGGGAGTTACAGAAGTGGAGCCTACTGTCATTTCCACAGATCGGGGAGTGTGTACTGAAGGGGTACTCAAGTTTTTCTTTTCAGAAGATGCAAGTGCAGTGACTGTCTGAGCTAGTGAAAGGAGAGTGGTGTCCCCAGCACTGGCAGACATTTCTGAAATGGGAGCATCTACTGTGTTATGTGAGGTCGAGGGAGGTGGAGTAGGTGTGCTTCCAGAAGTGGGATATAAAGCTGAACTTCCCTCAGGCAGAGTTCCAAGTGGAATCTCTGAAGGTGAATGTGTTTGGTGACTGGAAATCGTTTTGGTTTCTGTATCTGGCATTTCCAAGGATGAGGTGCCATGGGAATATGAAGTAAAAGGAATCTTTGATGGGGACGTTTTTATTGCCTCCATAGTCCTTGGAGTATTTCCCAAGGAGGTGATCATTTGTTCTTTGTCAGATGACACAATAGAGGTATCTTTCATCAATAGGGTGGGAACAGGTGTGTTTACAAGATGTGTGGAAAATTGAGAATTGTGATTGTCTACTGAAGTAGTAAGCTTGTTGGTAGAGGTATGTGATGGCATGGTCTCATCAATAACAGAGGTTTCTGTAGTGCCAGTCACCAAGCTAAGAACAACTGTACCACCACTCAAGATAGCCTCTACCACTTCAGATGTAGGTTGGGTTGCTGCTGGTGTCGATGCAGTTGAGAACACACGAGTGGAGAACACAACAGGAATGTTGTCAGGGAGAGATGCGGAATGGGTAAGAAGATGTGTGGATGGAGTTACTGTGTCAGATGAGATGGAAGGAAGGGTGCTACCAACATTAGTTGTCATAGGAGTAGGGGGGCTCAGTGAAGGGACTGGAGCTTCTGTCAAAGAGGAAACTGTCATGGGTGTCATCTTGACAGAGGTCACTGTCACTTCTGAAGTGATAAGAACAGGGTCTGTGTGGCTAGGCATGGCATTGTTGGTCGTAGGAGTCTGGCCCAATATTGTCACTGATGTTGTCATCACTGTAGCTGATGGAAGAGTTAAGGGATCTGAAAGTGCAGATGTGGAGAAAGTCCTGGCCAGTGTTGGGGACTCAGGTATGGTCACCTTAGTCTCATCAGATACCACCGAAGAGGTGACAGTAGAGTCATTAACTGACGCTGAGAACATATGGGTAAGAGGTCCAGGAGTTGCTGGGGAAGGGGTGGATGTAGGCTGTGGAGGTAAGGGGCCAGCAGACCAGGGCGGCATTGGTGTACTGTCTGCAGCAGTGGTGAAAATGGTTCCAAGTATCCTTGGAGTAGAAACATCCAGGAGGTCAGGGAATGTCTGTGAGTTCCCAGAAGTGGGAGATGGAACTGAATTCCCATCAGGTGGAGTCTCTGAAGTCCAACGTGTTGTATAGGTGTGGGTGGAATGGAAGATTGCTGTAGTTCCGTTGTATGAACTCAAACTCTTAGATGTGCTTTTCATAGATTTTGTTGTAAACCAACTTTCTAGAACTTCGGTAGTTGCAGTTTTATTGTCCACTGGAGTAGTAATTTTTTCGATATTCAGAAAAGGGGAAATGGTGATCGCAGCTGTCACCTTTGGTGCAGATCCATGCGTTGCCTCTAGTTTTGTGGGAAATGGAGAAACCTCAGGTGTCACTGCTGTAGCTGACTTGTCCTTAAGATCACCAGAAGTTGTTTCTTGCCTTGTCAGAGTAGCATTGAGAAGTTGTGCTGTCACCGACGTTGAAATAAGGCCTGTTGTCTCTTCAGATGGAATTGCATTTTTTGTTTCTGTTTGTGTGGTCTCAGAAGGCTTCTCAGTAGGAAAATATGATTCAATATCAGCAAGGGTAGATTTCATATCTTCTGGTGGAACTGTTTCCCTCGGTGTAGAACGAAGCTCATTTGTGGCTACTGTGAACACAGGGGTGGTTTTGGATTGTAAGGTGGTCGCTTTAGACTCAGATGGTTTGGGTACAGACGTGGCTCCAGAAATTGTGGATAAGTCAGCAAACCACGGAGATGTCAACTTGGATAGAACTGTTGTATATCTGGCTGCAGTAGTAATAACAGCATCAGCAGCCGTAGCAGCCTCACTTTCTGTGAATGTGTTTGGTGGAGTGATAATATTAACTGTTGTCAATGAATTTTCCGCATTAGAAGTACTCCCACGGAATGATGATGTGAAATTTTCATTAGGCGTAAATGTAAATATGGTGCTCTCATCTATCGATGTCAAAAGATTCTGGTCTGGCCCAGAAGTCCAAGTGGTCTCATTAGTGAACAATGCATGAGTCGTTTCATCAGTTAGAGTTGTAGGGCCTAACTCCAGCGCCTTGGCTGTGGAAGCTGATCTAGTAGAATTCAAAGGAAGCATGCTTTCACCTGCTGTGGTCACGTTCTGTGTATATATTGGCCCTGTGAATGTTGGGACGGCAATGGTTTCAGTCACTATAGGTGCAAGTGTGATTCCAGGCATTAAGACTGTCATTGCGGTCTCAGCATCAGGAACTGTCCGGACACTCTGAGCTCCCGTGAGCAAAGTGGATGTCCTGAAAGAAAGGGCTATGGACGAGGCCTCTTTCGTCACAGAGGTAGATATGGCATCCTCCACACTGGGTGAAGAGCCAGTCTGGAAATTTGTAGATGCCAAATCCGTTACAGTTGTTCTTGGGCCAGTTTTCGTCTCAGTGGGCCTAGTTGAAAGAATCACTGGGTGAACTGTAGATGCAGGCTGATTTCTAGTAAACACAGAGTCCACTGGAGCAGCTGTGGACATGAGCTCAGTCTCAGGTGGGAATACTGATGCAGTCCCAATGTGAGCAGTTGTAGCTAACACCTGTTCCACTGTAGACCATGGTACAGTTCCAGCAGCTGAAGATGGAAGAAATGCATGACCAGCTGTGGAGAAGGGGCGTGTCCCAATAGCTGTGGATGTTGTAGGCACAGAAGTTGATTCAATTGATGAGAAAAGAGTTGTTGTCTTCATAAAAGCTGTCTGAAATCTAGTTGATGAAGTTTTAGATACAACAGAATTCTTGGGGAATCCAGATGTGTATAGAAAAGAAGTAGCTGTCGTTGGATTAAAGGTCTCAGAAGTAAGGGATTCTGCCATTTTTGTTGTCATTGTCTTTTCTGACGATAGGAATTTACTTGTTTTCATGGAATTTTTAGTAGTGATTTTGGATGTACTCTTTGTAGGTGGTGTAACGGCTGCTGACGTAGACAAAATATCTGCTGCTAATGCAGATGTCTCAGCTATAGATGGAAAATTTTTTGATGCAGTCATTGTTTCCAGAGGTGGAGATGTTATATTGGAATATGATACAGTTGTACAACTAGTTTCAAACACAGGATTACTATTAGAGACCACGGTAGAGGAATCTACAGTCTTTTCTAGGTTTAGTCCAGTAATTTGTGATGGAGTTGTGAAATCTGTCTGTTGCGAAAGAGTTGTACTTGTTCCTGGGGTTGTTATATTATCAGAAACGACTGAAAAAAATTTTAAAAATGTGTTACTTTACATGCAGCTATATAAATCAAAAGACAACTATTTAAGAAAGTGCTCTATAATTTCTTCACTTATTTTTAAGAGGAACTAATCAAATATAATGAAACCATTGGATTACTTGAGATGTACAAATGGAAACAGGACCCAGAGAGAAGAGTGCTATTACATTGGGGGAATTGCAACCAATGTCATGAAACAAAATGTGTATAAATTGTTGAATAGAAACTAATGTACTCTGTAACTTTTCACCCAAACTATAATTATATATGCATATATAGTTAAGTCCGGTTGAGAGATGATGGTGATTTAGCCAGGGTGGAAAGTGATCGAGATAGAAAGAATAATATGGGATGAAGACATATATTTTCTCCTGCAGAGCAGCTGGTGGTTTATGAACTGCTGACCTTGTGGTTATTAGCCCAACTATACCATCTCAAAAAGACTAGATTTCTAAACAAGGTCTCATTCATGACTACTAGGATTTAGGACTTCAACGTATCTTTAGAGGAGACATAACTCAATCCATGGAAGAAATCATGAAGTGAAAGAGTTGAACATAAATTTTCAAATGGCAATTTGAAATATTACAATGAGGTGTGCAAATACTCAGTTAGAAAACCTAAAGGGAACATGCTCGGTATACCTCAAGCTAATGGAACAAAAGAAAAAATTCCAACCTTGAGTTGAGTTGAAGGATACTATGGGCAAAATATCAAATGATGTAGGAGACATCAAAAGAAGATGGAAGAAATGCACACAGTCACTTTCCCAAAATACCTGGTGAACATTCATACCACTTCAAGAGGAAACATATTATCAAGAACTGATAATATTGAAGGAAGAAATCCAAGCTGCACTGAAGGTATTGGTGAAAAAATGAAATACCAATTGAAATGTTTCAAAAAACTGATGCAGACCTATGAGCACTTACTAGTCTATGACAAGAAAGTTAAAAGCCTACTGATGAGAAGATATTCAGATTTGAGCCCATTACAGAGAGATGTCCAACAGAATGCAGAAATTATCTAACATCACTACTGACACGTGTAACATTTTGCTTAAAAACCATTGCAGCAGTACATTAACAAAGAGCAACCAGAAATTCAAGTCTGATTCAGAAGAGGACAAAGAACAAGGGATATCATTATTTATCTCTGATGGATCTTGACAGAGAGCAGAGAAAACCAGGAAGATGGTTACATGTGTTTTACTGACTATGCAAAGGCCTTCAATTGTCTGGATCCTAACAAACTATGGTTAACAACGCAAAGATTGGTAATTCCCCAATACTTAATTGTACTCATGTGTAACCTGTACATAGACCATGAGGCAGTCGTTTGAACAGAACAAGAAAATACTGCATGGATTAAAATCAGGAAAGGTGAGCATCATGGTTATACCCTTTCACCAAAGTTACTCAAGCTGTATGCTGAGCAAATAACCCAAGACGATAGGCTATATTAAGAAAAACCGTGGCAAGAGGATTGGAGGCAGGCTCATTAACAAACTACAGTCTGAAGACGAACAACCTTGCCTGCTGAAAGTGAAAAGGACTTGAAGCGCTCACTGATGCAGATCAATTACCACAGCCTTCAGCATAGATTACACCTCGACGTAAAGAAAGCAAAAATCCGCGCACTGGAGCAATAAGCAACGTCATGATAAACAGGAAAGATTGTCAAGGATTTGACATACTTGAATCATCTGGCTCATGGAAGCAGCAGTCAAGAAATCAAATGGTCTACTGCACTGGGAGACCTTTTAAAAACGTTAAAGAGCAAAGGTGTGCCTGACCCAAGCCTTGATCTTTTCAATCACCTCATATTCACGTGAACGTTAAACAATAAAGAAGGAAGACTAAAGAAGAATCGATGCATGTGAATTGTGGTGTTGGCAAAGACAATTAAAAGCACCAGGAGCTTCTAAGAGGGCAGACAAATCTGTCTTGGTAGAAATACAACCAAAATGCTCCTTAGAAACAAGGATGGTGAGACTTCGTCTCACATACTTTGGGCATGTTATGAGGAGAGACGAGTCCCTGCAAAAGGACATCATGCTGGTAAAGTGGTGGGGGCAGTGAAAAAAGGCAGACTCTTGATGAAATGGATTGACATCATGGCTGCAATCGTAGGCTCAAACATGAAAACCATCGTGAGGATGGTGCAGGCCCAGGCCGTGTTTTATTCTGTTGTACACAGGATTACTATGAGTCATCACAGGAGATTCAATAGCTCATAACAATAGCAACATAATCCATAACAACCAGTATATATAAACTTTCTTTAAAGACATTTGGATGTGAGAAAAGGAGAATGATAAAATAGTACCTGTGTAGGAATGTGAGAGGCTTAGTTTTTATGGAAAGTGATTGAACATATTTTAAATTTCACTGGAGAAATAAAGGAATACGAATGAATTGTTTTGTGTATGCTGCCATCTTTGCTTAGAATCTTCTTCATAGCCTTCTTCACTTGATCAACTTCTACTCATCCTTCATATCTCACCTCATGCACCATATCCTCAGGGAAACTCATTTTCCTAACATTAAGTAAAAATACGAAGCTTGGAATGAGGTGAGAGCACTTTGGGAATCCTAACCGAACTGCTATTGGAAAGGAAAATATAACAAGGTGTAGTAGAAGTGTTAAGATATGCAAATGATGGACTCGGAGGAAAATGGTGATTCGATAGGACTCACCCGTCTGGAGCTCCTGCTGCCAGACCAGAAAATTGGGAGGTAAGGTGAAAGAAATGGGGAGGTGGAGTCCTGAAATTAGAACTAGGGTACTAGCGTCTCTCCTGAACCCCTGTTTTGTGTGTTATTTCCACTCACAAAGCAAACCAAGAAAGCTATAAAGCGCTCTAGGTTTGGTGGGCACCGGCTGACAAGCTCCTCGCACCCTTGCGGGAAGCAGTGACTTCTCCAGGCTGACACCCTAATCCCAGATACGAGGAGAGCCCCATGCCGGAGCCCTCCCCTCTGTTGGCTACCTTGAGCTCACAGCCTGGGAAGTGGGAGTAGTGGGTAGCCATAATTTGGAGTAGAAGAAAAGGCAGATTTTTACCTGAGGCAAGATTGCGGTGTGGGAGAAAATTGGATAGTTGGAGTCCAGAGAGCGAATTTAGTTCCAATTGGCCGAAAAGGAAACCATCCCCCTGATAAGCTGGATCTCTCCCTCTGGGGGTCATCGTGAAAGCCCCCAAACCAGAGCACATCACAAGCATAACACAAAAAAGAGTAAAATATATATTATTGGTTAAAAACTCAAACCCTAGGGTAACATAAATCAGCATAAGAAGAAGCCTAGCTAAGGAATACCAGAACTTAGCTACAGGGCCTGGAGACTGTTTGCAGAACAAAGACCCACTGAAGTAAATCTCGGATTTTAACAGAGCATGGAGCTGCAGTCCAGAGACTGAGGGAGACAATTTAATTTGATTGTATTCTAGCTGTCCAGGGGGATAAAAAATTAAAAATAAAATCCTCTGATCTAGTAGGGCACCAGCAGTCTAGATAGGACAATAGGCCCAGCTTCCCTCTCAGTGATTCTACACACAGCTGGGGAGGTCCTGCAGGTCCTGGGGCCCTAGACAGGCTGTGGGTACACCCCACCCCCCACCCCTTCTGCAGTGCTACATAAAACACAAGGCAAGTATACCAGCGAATTCCAGCGCTCAGTACCGCGGTGGAAACTGATGCCTGGCCATGGGTGCAATCTTGCCTTTGAAAGTATTCCCACCCTACATCTGTGGAACCCTACATCAAACGGGTACACCACTCCGCTACCTTGAGGAAGAGTTGGGACTCCTCCAGCCACACAGACAGGTGATCAAGTCTCAGTTATGTCCTTACCACTCTATTTCTTCTCTCTTCATTCACTTGTCCTTCCATCTTTCCCACCACAGTCTCAATGAGCTCAGGTTTGTGTTGGGTTTCTTCTCTCTCTCTTTCTTCTTTTTCCCTCTTTTATTCTTTTTCCCTCTTTCTCCTCTTCTCTCCCACTCTTTCCTACCATACGCCACTACTGGCTATTAGGTCACTACCCTCCGCCTAGGGCAAATCAACCCAAATATCAGGGGAAACTCCAGCCTTCCCTCCATGTGAGTGCTGTACACCACACAAGGCAGCTGTCACAGCCATCTACACCACGCTGAACTGCTGAGGAAACCTCCGTCTGACCTCTAAGGCAATCTCTTCAACTAGGGCAATTCTGCCCAGCACCACTGGGTCCCTGCATTAAAAGGGCACACTAACCTGCCATCGAGGGGCAGGGTCTAAACCTCTCTGGCCCCACATTCAAGCAATCAGGGATCAGCTATCTCTTCATTCTTTATTTCTTCCTTCTCTCTCTCTTCCTTCTTTACCATCACAGCCAATCTTAGTGAATACAGTTGAGTTTTCCCTCTTCTCTTTCTCCTCTTTTTCTTTCTTTCTTCTCTCTTTCTTTGTTCCCTTCGCTTCTCTCTCTGCTTGTATGATTCTCTCTTCTCCCTCTCATTCCTTTCACATGCCACTGCTGGTTCTCAGACCCCTACACTCTGCCTAGGGCAACTATGCCCATAAGTGAGCAACCTGCCCCTTAAGACAGTGCTGCACACAGCACAGCACAGGGTCAACTATCTCTTTATCTATTTTTTAATTCTCTCTCTCCTTCGCTTTCCTTTTTCTTCTTTTTCTTTCTTTCTTTGTGTTCTTCTTTCACTTTTTCTTCTTTTCTCCCCTTCTCCTAGCTCTGCTCTCTGTCCTACCACAGCCTCAGCAGATTCAGTTCTCCTCTTTTGTTATTTTCTTTTCTTTCTTTCTTTTCCTTTTATTTTTTTTTTACTGTTTTCACTTTTGTTTACTCTGTGCATTCTGGTTGTGTATGTGGGAGTGGGTGTTAGTTTGCTTGACATTGTTGCTCCAGTCTTTCTTTTATTCTTTTCTATTGGACTGCTCTACACATTAGACAAGATCACAGAAGAGATGATTAAAAAGGTG